CGCTTAAGGTTTTTATGCCCTTAGTTAGCCGTCATGCAATAGTTGTTCAATCATCAACAATTTAAATTTTGTTTACGTGGTACTAAGCCTAATGAAGCTACAATTTGTTTACGTGGTACTAAGCCTAATGAAGCTACAATTTGTTTACGTTTGAAACCCTTAATAGAATAGTGAATTAAATCCAGTTTGTGCACCAACATTAATGTCTTTTTGCCGAGTGGGGCCAAAAGTAAACTTTCAATTTTGCGCAACGAAAAATCAGTTTTCCTGCTTGCTGGCCGAATTGCTTGTTTTTACGTAGGAACTCTAATTTTAATTGTAAAATTTGTTAACTGGTTTTCGTGTTTTATGTTTTTCTGCATTTTACAATTTGAATGAGAAATGTATCTCCTAATTCGAGGAAATAATGTTAAATAAAATGCAGCAAAAAATATTTATAGTTTAATAGACCTATAAGGAAATCATGCGGTGTCTACATCAGATTTTTTTAGTGCAAAGGGGCTTTGTTTTTGAAGGACTATTGTTCTCGTTTAGCGATTTTGCGTCGATTCACTACAAACGGCGAATCACTTTTCAAACTGTTGCCATGAGGCAACAGTATTATCGCCCTGTGTTATATTTAAAAAAATTAAATAATAATGAAAAATCTGCATAAATGTATGTATATTTCCAGCATTGTGATAAAACAACGGTACGTAGAGCCATCGAATTTTGAATGACTTAATCCTCCTACGAATATGGGCATGTGGAAGACCAGATTTGAAATTTGTTTTATTATCGATTTCCCATTTTGTAAAACTTTAACGAGCTGTTGCACTTAAACCATAAAATTCAGTTACTGTTGAACTGAATTTTATGGTTTAAGTGGAAAGAACGTGATATTTAATAAATGCAACACACAAAATGTTAAAAAAAAAAAAAAAACTCCCTTTTGGACGTAATTAAAATCTGAAACATTTCAGATTTTCTTCCCCCACCCCCTCCTGATTATATTCTTCACAGGGATCACACTCTTCCGTGTTAGTCAGGAATTTCTCTAGAGATGCATGAAAACTTCATTCACATTTCTGAATGTCAAAATCACGATTTTATCAGCTTCTTCCTCACTTTCACTGCATATTTCAGTCAACTCGTTAATATCTTCGACGTCTGTTCTCTGTGAAAAGTTTATTTTTGTATTTTAATTGTTAATATAGTTATAATCGGTTTTTCATATAATAATGTTTCAAAGCAAAATAATCTTTACATAAAATTTATAGATTTTGCATAATAGCAGTATAGGCTAATAGTTGCTTGACTAAGAAGCAGATGAATGTTAATACGCAATTTAGCAGAGGAAAAAAAGGAAAATAATTCATTTTTGCCAAAAAAAAAAAAAAAAATCATTCATTGTATGATTTTTGATTAATCTGGTTGATTTAAATAAAAATACATTTAATTCTTGATGTATCTAATTATAATTTTATGCCCCACTTTATTTTGTATTTTACATAAGACTTTTCGAACGCCATATGGTATACAGTTTGTATAGAATTCCTTTTAAAAATTGTTATTGACCTTTTTTTAAGATGAATCCTTTTTCAAAGTATAAAATATTCAATATAGTTATTCAAAGCGTTTACATGCCTTGCTTAGCTGATCGCTCCTGATAATTCGTAAGGGAAATTCTTCAGTGTAATCATTATGTTCAGCATGTCAAGTGTATCTTATATCAACGTTAAGCTTCATTCTTGATCTTTAGAGAGATCTACCAAGTTTCCTTGCATGTAGGTTAAAGAAACGGAGGGGGGAGGGGATTTTGTCGATGATTGTTACAATTTCTATGCCCTTATCATCAAATTCTTCAATATAATCAAAAGACGAATGCAACAATCGATACTTTAGCAAGCTAATCAACACTACCAATATACAAAGTAAAACAATTCCCTTCATTGCAGTCCTTTCCTGACCATAATTAAAGGTAGCTGATATATTAAAGAAATTATAAAATGAGTTGCAGTATTCCATATAGCTCATTTTGCATATAAAATCTTGCAACTCTTGCATATAAAGTTTAGAATTGTTGAATTAGAACAACTGATTAAACAAGTGTAATTAAAAAAAAAAAAAAGCAAATACCTTTCATTTATTATTGAAATATTAAACTATTTTTGAAAATATGAATTTATACCAGGGTGAACTCAATAATAAAATCATTATACATGCTTGTTTTCTAATAACTATATTAAGTGGCAAGTAACATTAAAAGAAATAGGGAAGATCCTTAATTTTTATTAAATCCAAGAGAAATTACTTCCAGTCTTGTTAAAAATACGAAGGACTATATAGGACTGGATTACACAGGTTTTGGCAAAACATACCAAAGCTATCTAAGAGAAGGGAAAGAGGTGTAAGAGAAACTGGCTCTTATTTATACAGTCAAAAGTCGTTAATTCAAACACCCATAATCCGGACCTCAAAGCTAAAAACTTTCTGCGCATGCGCCGCGTTGACACATGCGCATAGCTGTTTACGCGTGCGCGTAAGACCTTTACAACTGCGCATATGCATGTGCGCAAGCACAGAATACATTTTCGCGTCCGCGTTTTATGTATAACGGACAGTATATGCTAAAATTATCTAATTATCTATTTCAGTTAATGTTGATGATTGCGTTGTTCCTTAATCTTCGAATTGGATCTGGCTTATTATTTTTTGCAGACTGTAAGAGCAATTTTATAAAAGTAAACTTGAACTTTCGATTATGTCAAATAGAATTTCCGATGCTGGAGCTCCCAAAGGATCTACAAAACGAAAGCATGTTTCGATGTCCATCAAACAAAAAAGTGGAATTGCTGCAAAAAATGGATAAAGACATGAAGAAGGTGACAGAGAGGTTAGTGAAAAGTAAAAAATTTCAATTGACAAGTTAGTCGGTATTCTCGGCACAGCAATTACGGGACTTGAACAGCAGAACTTTGTAACTGAACAAGAAATTATGTCTGCTTATAGAATTAAAGAGAAAGTATTATCACATAAAACGAAGCAACTTAATTAAACAACTTACATTGAAAGAAATGTTTAATAAAGTAAACAAATAAATATTAAGCTTTTTTTTTGTAAATTTTGATACCCTTTAGATCATAATTTTTCTTTATTTCATAAATTACGGTTTCATATTTTTAATTTTAGAATTTCTGCATGTTATCTTACGAGACTTACAAGACTTATCTTACGATCTTTAAAACTGATGATCTATAATCCGGAACTGCCGAAGTCCCGACGAGTCCGGATTAATGACTTTTGACTGTATTGCGTGTAGTGGGAACCAGCAAAACTCAATGCAGCAGGCCCTATTGTTGGGATTTGACCCATATGAGCTACTAATGTTCAGTGGTTTTGTCATTCAGGCATTGGTTGGGTAAAAATGGATAGAGAGTGGAAGCAGTTTATCTCTCACATCAGAAATATGTCTTTCCAAAATAAATTGATGTATTCATATGTATGAATTGAGTTATTAACTTTTCCTCTCCAACAGCAGGAATAAGTTTAATGATATAATAGACGAGCAAGTAACTCAATAAAATAACTATCTGAGCTGGCATCTTCCAGGGTTTAAATAATCTGTGCAGTACAAACATTAGTATTCATAATTCTTAATAAAATAAGCTCTAAAAAAGAAACTTCAATTTCCAATGGAAGAACGTAAATGAACAATCGACTTTTTCTATCTGGGAGAAATTTTGCTGAAGAAAATGAATATGAGCTCTTTGCCCTGTTGCCAGCTGCAAAAAAAAAAAAAAAAAAAAAAAAAAAAAAAAAAATTCTATGGTATGAAATGAAAATTTAGAGACTATTTTTTTGACAATTTAGATTGTCAGAACTTGTACTATAGGCATGTTGATGAGCCTAAATATAAAGTCTGCTCTTTTTAGTCTTAATAATACAATCATAGTTAAATCTACAAGCAACAAACAATGGTTGTGAACCTTCAATACTAAAGAAGAAAAAGAGGTACAAGATCTCTTACGCCTATCAGATTAAAGTCCAAAAAATGAGTTTATAGATATCCTTGTCAAACACACCTTTTCATTCAAAAACGATATAATATTTAAACTAAACACCTTTTCATTTCAAAACATAGCAGTAGAGTCCTTACCTTCTAACAAAATAGTTATGTTTCCCACAAAACCTAAAGAAATGCAAAATATGTATAGAAAATTATTTCCTACATTCTTGATGAATGATTTCAGGATGAAATTCTGAAGAAGTTAACTAATTATCCACTGATTGTAAAAGAATAGATATTTCATTGAATTTTTATGGTCATATTTTACATTTTTGTTTATATATGCCTTTTCATTTGTTTTCTAGCATTAATTCAAAGAAGCAAACAAATCTATATTTTTAATAAAAAACTGTTACTGAGCTTCACAACTAAAATGCAATGCATTCAAGTCAAAATGAAATAAAGCTTCCATAAACATTAACATTAAACGGTGAAAAGGTATCATATACACCAAAAAGGCAAAGGCAATTTCATTTTGTTCTTCCAGCTAACAAATTGAAATGTATGCTATTTTTCTCTAAATTTGACAATTTTAAGAAGCATCTTTTTAGCAAAAATATCTTAGCAAAAAGTTAAATATGTAGAAAAAAAAATATAACTCTTACAGTAAAAAGCTTATGAAAAACATATTACAGTTAAAAAAATTTACAATGATCATAATTTTAATCTTGATCCTAATCACTGAATCAAAATTATTTCCCGAAATCCTTTTCATATTTCAACTGAATTTCCTGCTTTCTTCAAACAATAAATCATGTTATGCATAACAGACCCATCACTTAATAAACATTACAATGTGATTATAGATCTTTCTCAAAATAGAATGAGGAAAATTAAAAAGTTGTCAAAGCAAAAGTTAGCAAAGGGGAAAATGTGCTTGTTAATATGCCAGAAAATGCAATACTGGTTATAAAATTACAGAAATGAATCAAAAACAATAAAAATGACAGAATTACTATCACAGGTATTTATTATGCTTTTTCTTCAGCATATTTGAACATTGGAGACAATTCGATATAAAGTATTTGATATATTATGTTTATATAACCTACGATGAAAGAAAATTCAATCAATCACAAATTAAAATAATATCACAGGCAGATTACACAGTATATCAATGAAATCATTTGATATAACAAAAGATTGCAATAATGTACAAATCTAACATTTTCTCATTAATCAATGATAAATATCAGTCAATCATGACAGAATATAAATAAAATTACAACAAACAGGTTTTCATTGGCAGACACACATAATATATAATTAAAACGACTTCCAATATTTTAAGAGCAATGAAAAATGAAAGATTAGATAACTTTAAATTTGCACTTTTTAAAAGCTGATATTTTAAAGATAAAAAGAGTTTAATTATCGGACTCCATCAAACTATATAAAATATTAACATGCCAAAAATTCTTTTAGAAAATATTTTATTTACCATAAGCATTGAGTATTTATTTAAAAAATTATTAGACTAAAGAACAAAAAATTATATTATATACAGCTCTTAAAATAAGTTATTTACAATTTGAATCATACTTTCTTTTAAGCATGATTACTGTTCATAACAACAAAACAATTAGTATGCAACACCAAATTCTGCAATTCTGTTGGAAGCTCAATGAAATTTTAAATAGAATAAATTTATATAATAAACAATATCTCAAAAATTAAAAAGAAATACATAAATTTCAGAAAATAAATATACATTTCTAATTAAGAAATATTTTCCCCTTACTTTATAAATGCTAAATTCCTACAATATACATTAATCTGTTTCTTTTTAACTTAACACAATCTGTATTATGCAGGATCAGAATATTAAAACAACCTTTAAGAATGAAACACAACCAGAAACGAACAAGAGCATTTTTTCACAAACATTTTAAATTAAAATGGCAAACATCACCAAACGTTATTCTTCAGTATTATATGCAAACTGCTCAAGTATTCTTAAAAATAAAAGAAGTATTATGACAACTCTAACAAATAGGATGTAAAATCTGTATTCTATTTTTCATTCATTTTTTTAAAATTACCGTATCACATAATTGTTATCCCATTAATAAAAAAAAATTATATTTAAATTAGAAAGAAGTAGACATAATGAAAATATGAATTAATATCAGTAACAAAGAATTTATTAAATAACAGATTTCTCTTAATGTAATCTATTAATTTGATTCTGACAATGATTAAATTCCATTTTAATCTAATTTCTTATTGAATTTTAGTTGAAGGCACTAAGTGAAAATAAATACTGCAAAATGTGATATACTGCTAAAAAAAAACTTAACATTTATTTTGTTTCCTAAAAAATAAACTACTTTCAGAATTCCCATTACAAAATACTTTTATATCTATGGCTTGTCAAAATGGTTCAATTAAAATAAAAAAGTGAATATTTTATCAATTAAAAAATTTAAAACAGGCCTTGACTTAAATTTTTTTCAACTTATCATAAAATTATTCAATACTAGTACATTTAATTCAATAATGCACTTCAGTATGCATATACTTTTTTTTATTAAAATAATAAAAATGGTAACACACCAGACTAGCACTTTATAAAGTAAGTCTAAAACACTAAGTTTAAAATAAATAAACTTTATATTATAAAGTTAAAAATGAAAACTACAGATGTGACAAAATTTCTAACAACTAATTTATATAATTTTAAAACAATTTTAGATAATATTTATAATTTATTAGGACTTCAGAGAACTATTAATTGTTAAATATATTCAAGATCTTTTTATATTAGTTAGAGTCTATTATTTTAATTACACTATATTCATAGCTTTCAATATCTCTGAATTCTTATTACCATCATATGGCATATTCTTTTTTTTTTATTATTATTTTACAATGCGTAAACTTAATGCAAATCATAAATGTGTTTCAAAATATTTTTCATTCTGAGAAATTGTATGCATTTTATCTTCTTGGCAGCATAACGTTTATTGAAATTAAATAGTTAATAAATATGCTTTTTTTCTAATAGATGAATGTTCAGGTAAGGACATAATCCATTTTCGTAGACTTATCAGCACAACACATGAACTAACGAGGATAGCGCCTGAAATACTGTAGGCATCTGGAATCTCATTGAAGAACCATATTTGCCAGATGAAAGCTAAAACAATATCTGTTGCTGCTCGTACAATGGCTACAGGACCTGCATGTTCTTGTTTCAAGGCTAAGGTCAAAAGCATTTGGCCACAGAAGCTAAATATTCCAAGTAATATCACCAGCCACTGTTCCAGTCCACAGGCTGGAGCAGTAAATTTTCCTGTAATAAATGTCAGAAGTGTAGTTTCCAGAATAGCAACCCATCCAAAATTAAACATAATTATAGCATGATGTACACCAGTCATTTTTCTTATAACAACATATACACTGGCTCCAAAAACAGTCGATCCAAGTGCAGCCAGAACTCCATACACATGATCAATGCTGTAGTGAAATAATTCATCAGCCAAAATGACAGGCACCTTTGTTATTAGTACTATACCAAGAAGGGTTAAAAATACAGTAAATGCATGAAAAAATCCACAGGGTTCTTTTAGGAAAATTCTGGCCAACACAGCAACAAAGACTGGAATGCTGAAAATTATTACTGATGCATCTGCAATGGGTAGCTTTTTAAATGCAACAAATCTCAAAAATAAGCTGGTTGCGCCGACCAAGCCTCGAAAAATTAACAAATGTCTCACTGGTCTTGGTCCAAATGGCTCTTCTCTGCTGAATATCACAAGAGGAAGGGTGAATATAAGTATTCCTGTAAACCTTAAAACAGCCAATTCAGCTGGAGATATATCTTTTACATATTTTACAATCACAGATGACAATGAAAAAAAGACACTTGACATCGATGAATAAAACAACCCTTTATACAAAGTCACATTCTTCCTTAAAAAACTAGGTTTTTCTTTAACTTCATCTTTTAGAACTTCTTTTGAATCAATAGAGCTCACTTTATTATTGTCCATGACATCAGCATCATCTGGATATGTATCATATTGATTTCCACAATTGGAAACCAGAGGCTGCTCTTGATTTGCAGATATCTTCTTTTGTAGCCAGCGAGGCATAGTTGGATCATCACACTTTGGTGCACTTTCTGAACTGCATGAAAGATCGCTGACCTATGAAAGATGGTATTATATGAATACTACATACACAATATTAATAAAATTTCAAATTATTTTTCAAGGTAAAGACTGTCCAACTTCAGCCCACTTGTTTTCTCCCCAAACCTACTAATAATTATGAAGTTCTCTACAAGATACTTTTCAAAAGTATTTTGTTGCAATAAATTACATGCCTACAATCGGAAAGTGCTTTATGACAGCTCTTCCCAGTCTTAAACTTTCAGAGTTTAAATTTAATTTCTAGAATTAAACAATATTTTTAATTTCTGTAAATCAATATAAATTGCATATAACAATGCTAAGTATTACTACATTATTCTAATCTACATAAACAGAACTAATGCAGCACAAAACTTTTGCATAACAATATTCAATATCTTGGAGCTTAATATTAGTCAAATTTCAACTTAGTAAGGTAAGTTGAAATTTGACTAATATTAAGCTGTTAGTTAACTTAAAGGTAATGTATAAAATCTTCATAATGATATGGACAAATAATTAAATTTTCAGATCAACAGAAGCATTAACTATTTTATCAGTTAAGCATTCAAAGGATGCCTCCAATGTAGCCAACACATTTCACAGCCAGGAATTTAATTCAAGCCAAATATCTGTATTGTGTAATCTTATATACTTAGCAACTAATGTTATTTTAGAAACAGTTGTCTTGTCTATATTACATGGAACAATGGTTGCCAGAGCCTACTCCGAAGAGAATATTCCACCCCCAATTTTGAGGGAGAGCATCCAGGGACAGAGGATCTGGGAGGTCTCTCAGCCCTCTCCCCTTCTAGCAATTCACATGTGAGGACTTTTGGCTTGCGCATATTTAGAGTGCCGCCACACCAAACTGACAATATATAAATATTAATGTCTTCTCCGGGATTCGAATGCGGGCCTTCGGTACCGTAGTAGGCTCCCCTAACCGCTATACCATCTGGGCTACTTTAAAAACAGTAAACAATCATAATAGTATGCTGTACACTATGCAAGGTTCCAATCGAATTAAGAATGTGTTATCAAAAATGGTAAATTATTTTTCTTCCCTTTTAAAAAAACTGCATGCAAAAATAGTAATCATACATACAGTCAAGTCTCTTTTACGTCTAAAGCTATGGAAGAAAGCACTACAAAGTGTATAACAAATGCATGAAAGACCAACACTGGAACACAAGTTAAAGATTAATGGCTAAAATACAGAAAGCTTAACAATGCGGTATTTCACTATAAAAGATGTGTTATATGAGGTCAGAAAAGTCTTTTATGAAACACTTAATGGGCACACCCGAATTAATCCCATCAAGCAACATCCGACAAATATGTGCACTGCACCTCCAAGTTTATTGAGTAGATGGTATCAGTAAAAATATGCACATTATAGTTAACTCAGTGTCATATTTTATACCACCATGATGGACATGCTGGCATAAATATGAGAAGTGAGCAATAAATTCATGAAAGTCAATTGTATATAAAAGAACTGCAATCAAATTATTTGCTTAATTTAACCCAACAATTTTTGTAACTGTTTTCAATATTTCTACAAACTCTGCAATGTTGTCCTGGATGATAAACTTTGATTTAAAATTTACCAAAGAAAATTTTTACTTCCCTTAGAGGCATGAAAAAAATAAAATATTTTTAATAAACATTTTATTTTTGTTCTATTAAATATGACTACTGCATTAAAATGTATTCAGATAAAAATTTCAATAAATAAAACATTCTTTTTGATCCCCCCCCCTCCAAAAAAAGGGCAAACAGGCTAAAGAGGGTTAATACTATCAGATATATAAAATATTTCCTGAAATAAATGCAATAAGTAGTTTCTTATGGTCTATTAAACTGAACTCTATAAAAATCTTTAAGTTTTGCATAAATTTTACATATGGAATAATAAAAATTATGATGTATTTCACACGACATGGAAAATATTTTATCATTTTGCAGAACTAACTCCTATATTTAACAGCATAATGTAATTAGTTAATCTGATTTTGTATGCATGTTGCTAGTATGTTAATACCCATTCTATCAAAAAACTTAATTCATGAAGACTTTTTTCTTTTCAAGGTGCTTATGTATTATCCTGTAGTTCATGAAAGTTGACTATCATCAAACTACAAAAAATGGCAGAGATCCCATAAAGTTGCATCATCATTCCTGTAGAACTGAAAATAATCCACAAGTTGCTATTCTGCAGAAAGCAGGTCCCAAATTCTAATAATTTTCTTTCAAAATGCAAGGGAAAAATATAGCAATAACAGTTAATTAATACCCTTTAAAAAAAAGTGTCTTATTGAAAATCAATTGTGGTTACATCACACAAAAACATACATTTATGAGTGTGTGCTGTTACTTGATCATGCTGTGGCTATAATTTTGCAATTGATGAGGTAATATGAAAGTACTCTTTCCAAGTACTGCTAAATTTGTTCTGTTAATACTCATCTCCTTCTTAAATACTCTGTATCTTACTTTCTTTATACTTTCAATTTATAACTGATACATATAAAAATGCTTTCCCACTATTCTTTGCAGAAAAAATGGTAATTTTATATTTCTAAATAACTCTGGAAAATAAAAAAAAAAAAAATTGTAATAATATTATTTTATACATGTTTACGTAAAGAGTTTGGGAAAAGTAGTTTTTTCTTTCTCACATAACTATTTCTTTCAACTATAAAAATGTGTATTACATCAACTGGGAGAAAAAAGATACATCAATATGCTATCTGAATATATGTCATTTGAATGCAACTCTTCATCAACAGATTTATTGTCTTTATCAGCTTCCCAGATCAGCAGAATTTCTCCTGAATTTTGTAAGATTTTTTTATTTATGAATAATAAAAAAACATTTACATACAGCCCTAATCAATCACATTAAAAGAAAGCAGCAGCAAATTTTAAATTTTTACAGAAGTGTTGATATGTCATAATCTGCATATCAACATGCAGTTGTTTAGTTTAGTATAGTAAAGACACTAGGGCTATCTACCAAAGGGGAGGGATGCTTTTGTGGAGGAATTTGTAGAGCAAACTGGCTCGTATACATGTTACACATGGGGAAAACCACAAAAATGCCCATGCAGCCAGCTTGTTCATTTGGGATTCAAACTCAGGTTGGAATTACCAGTATTCAATAATTTTACCACTCAGCCACTGGTGAGCCTTATCAACATGCAGAACACATATGTCAGAATGCTGGTCCTACATACCAACATACAGGAATGATCAAGGCATAGAACTGACTACTATAAAAATGAACTCTTCTCATGCACACACTACATATCTGGCTTCAAACTTCCATCTTTGCTCTGTCATTATATAATATTATCATGTACATTGAGTGAAAAAGGGGGGAAGGACAGTTCTGTATCTCCCATTCTATTGGGCTGATTAACAAAATTCAAATTGCATTTTTCATATTTCAAAAGCGTGACTTCGGAACCTACTTACTTTCCTTATTTTTCACTGATGCACGAGAGGAGAAAAGGTCCATCGTTCATTCTTTACTATAATTTTAACAAAAAGCATAAACCACATTTTCGTTATTATCACTTGTAGTAAATACAACAAATTAAAAAATGTGCCGAAATGTAAATTCACGTGTACGTTAGGAAATTTTCAATAAAAACTCTAATTTTTTGCAGATATGCTTAAAAATACATCTACTTTCAAAGATGTAAAAAATTTTATAGGTTATAATGGAAAAATTTATAATTATTATTGTATTTAAAAATACAAATTTTTAAAATAAATAATAAAATTTGGATTAAGCCTAAATTTCGAATTCTGGAAGAAGGAGTAAAGTAAGTTTAATAAAAAAAGAGATATGAATAAATAAATATCAAATTAAATTAACATTGAAGAGCTAAAATTTTGAGAGATTTTTAAAAAAACTAGTGGTGCAATTTGTACAAAATTTGACAGTTTGGCATAATTTGAATCATAGAATCAAAATATGGATAAAAGTTGGCATGCCATTTCAGAAAAAGTCCGATTTTGTGTCAAAATACCTATATTAAAACAATGGTATTTATAAATCTAATTACGTATCCTAAGTCGCGCTTTCAAGACATGAAAAACACAGGTTGAATTTTGTGAATCGGCCCAGTAAGGATCGGGAGATAAAGAACTGATCAATCCCACTCCTGCAGCAAGGCAGTTTTCAATTCCAGGATGGTTCTCGGAGGGGGATGGAGATGAAATTAATTCTTCAAGAGTATCCCAGACATGCTCTATAGGGTTGAAGTCAGAATATCTGGCTGGTCAATCCATGCAGTAAATATCCTCACTTCCAAAGCAGCTCAGTCCTATGTGAATAAGCACTGTTGTCTATTAACCAGAATTCAGCACCAATGACACCCTGAAAAGTTGAATATTGGAATCTATGATCTCTCCTCTCTATTTCTCATAACAGTCAGGGAGTCTTTCTCAAACATATGCAGGGGTGTGCAGCCATCCCACATAATGCCTTCTCAAACCTTTACACTTCCACCATCATAATAATAGTTTTCCCTGGTAACAGAGGAATGGTATAGTGTTCCATGCTCTCTTCAGATACATGCTCGCTGAGAATCATCTAGGCTGAATCTCAACTTATCTGTAAAAAGTACAGTTCTTCACTAGAGTCTGGTCCAACGCATGTGCTGTCTGCAGCAAGCTAAATGTGCTCTCCTCTGTACTGCAGCGAGCAGGATGCAAACCCCAAATCTTCTGGAATCTAGCCCTATCTCATGAAGTCTTCAGGCAACTGTAGGCCATTTAACTTGGATTCCAGTGACAGCATGCAGCTGATATGATTGCTGTGAAGCTATAGTAGTCCTCCTGTATTGCTAAGCTGAAGGTTACAAACAACTAGCCTAATTTCTCATTGTGGATCTTGGACGACTTTGTCCAGGTTTTCTAAATATGAATCTGATGTTCTGAAACTTCACACAAATTGTAGATGACACTAGCTCTGTAGTCCCCTGTGTTTGTGAGTGGCTTGCCTCCAATCTGTTGACAATTATCCATTTTATTCTGCTATCCACACACAAGGATGAAGAAATGTTTAAACCGCAGTTTTATTACTTTGAAAAAGAAACAATATCAAATATTACATAGCACATACAATCTCCAAAGGTATTTAAACACACTTAAAGTTTCTCATGAACAAAAAATAAGAGAATAGTATTTGAGCTAATGCATAAGAAAACTCAATTTTCAAACGTCACGTCTACTTATTTCGTTAAATCTGTATATTTTTTTAAAAACTATAATAGATTTCTAATTGTGACCGACCTACCTGTGGAAGAATGGTAAATTGGAGAAAGTATAAAAAAAATTTTGCGGATGCATAGGCCCAGACGTTCACTACATTAAATTAAGTAGTCACGAATAATATTTACATATTAATTTATATGAATGTGAAACAGTTACATGCATGATTTAAGTAATTTACTCAACTTTTAGGAGGAACATGGCGAATATTGTGAAGGTGTATGACCCTTGTGTCACCAAAAACCCTTGTGTGCTTATATTCCCTCTAAAATCACAACCTCTTGTGTGCTTATATTCCCTCCAAAATCACAGCTCTGCAGATGCACATGTGCAAAAAATTATGCATGTGCTTGCATAATTTTTTGGAGGCATGATTAGTACCTTTGGTTCAATATATTTTGTAAAAATTTACATAATTTACTAATTCTCTTAATTTTGCACTCAAGTGTACAATATATGCTTTTTCAATGAGAAAGAAAATAACTTTCCTCAAGGACAACTTTAAAGTTTCACTATGCCTTGTAATTTTGTTCCTGAACTTTCTCATATCTTAAGCATGCAAAATGACACAAAAATATAATTTGGGAGCACAACAAAAAATATTATATCTAAATGACAGTCCAATTTTTAAAACAGTTTGTAACTTCATTTTCTTAAAAAATATAAGTGTTGAATGGGGAAAATGGACTTTAGAAATTAATGCGTGTAGAAAAGTAACAAAATACAAAAATATAACATAATAAACTTTGATAAAAAAATGGGCTAATCCTTACGAACGAATCAGCTTAACCATTCGCTAATGGCTATGAGATGCTTAAATACAACAGCTAATACGAACCTCTATTCCTTAAACAAGGTAACTGGCTTTTAACATCGTAAAAATATATAAGTTATTAATTATAAAGTATGGACATAAAATTCTTCAGTGCTACACAACTGAAATAAAAACACAAATATATGAAAATTCATATTCAAATTAATACTAATAACTTGCACATTCATGTTAGGTGTCACAAATTTAGTAAATAAAATTTTCCATTACTCGACAATAATATACAAAAATTTTGCATCGTAGCATTTTGTGCTAAAACTATGGCTAAAGGAAAGTAAGTGGTGAAGCACTCAGCCAGTTCATAGCTATAGCCGACTCTCCTAAAGGAATTAACATCCATATTTGGAGTATATGGTTATCAAATATATTATGCTCAGCTTATAAATACCAGCATAAAAACTTCCTTTTCAATATATATAGAAAGAAGAAAATCTTATAACAACAAAAATGTACAGTTTGTTATGTTGTTATATGCCATATCACCTATCTACATGTGCCAATACTAGTGAACCAATGAACAGTTCAGAATATTTTAATAAAATGCTATAGCCCAACACAGGAAATTTTCTAATAAATATTAGAAAAATGTCACTGAACTTCGCTAAGTCGATACTTATAAATACTTACTTAGCAGAAAATTACATATGAGCTGAATATAAATAAATATACCATTAAACTTTCTTTTCATTTAAAACACTGTTTATATAGGTTGTTTATCATTATTCAGAAGCGCATAAAGCAGAGCTAAAAGGATGAAGAAATGTTTAAACCGCAGTTTTATTACTTTGAAAAAGAAATAATATCAAATATTACATAGCACATACAATCTCCAAAGGTATTTTAAACACACTTAAAGTTTCTCATGAACAAAAAATAAGAGAATAGTATTTGAGCTAATGCATAAGAAAACTCAATTTTCAAACGTCACGTCTACTTATTTCGTTAAATCTGTATATTTTTTTAAAAACTATAATAGATTTCTAATTGTGACCGACCTACCTGTGGAAGAATGGTAAATTGGAGAAAGTATAAAAAAAATTTTGCGGATGCATAGGCCCAGACGTTCACTACATTAAATTAAGTAGTCACGAATAATATTTTACATATTAATTTATATGAATGTGAAACAGTTACATGCATGATTTAAGTAATTAAGCTCCTGTCAAATTCGACGATAGGAGCTCACGTTCCCAGCCGCATTTCGCAGATCGTACCGCTGTTCCAGTTTAACTGACATCTAAAACACTTCACACCCGCACAGATACACGCAGATGCTTACTCACCAATGACGTCAAAGGTTTCCCTGCAGGTGGCGCCGAAGTTTTTTCTGTTCCTGAAATATGAAATAATTAATAAGTTAATTCATTAGTTCTAGAAGCTATCAAATAAATCAATACTGTTCTGAAATAATAAATAAAATATTAATCCTTTCATTATGATATTTTTTTCTTACAGAATCACTAACAAAATTTTCTTCTTCAAGCGTTTGATTTTTTATTGTTGATTAGAGATTATATTTGGCACAACATTTTTTTACCAATGCATTGTTTCACTTTGGATTCTTTCGTCAAGCAAACCTCTTACAGAGGATATTT